ATCGTTTCTCAAGAGATTTCAGTCTTTCTGATTAAATTTGATCATTCATGCGATCGCCTTTGTACAGACAAACGTGCAAATAAGACATGCATAACGTACAAGCGAAAAATCAGGGATAAAACTCACTTCTTGGTCACATGCTTTATGAATTATAAGCATCTCTCAAAAGTAAGAACAAACGCACGTAGGCTTATAGAAGCCGCTACAGTGTCTTCATTTAATCTGTTAATCAAGTATTTATTCTCATAACCATAATTTTACGCTTCTCATAGATATGAGTTTTATATTTACTCCTGTCGGCATTTATGTAACTGTCCACTCATATGTCCACCGTTGTTCATTTAAAGACATTTACATTGATTTGGCTGGTTTTCCAGCCCCGTGCTAGATCCATGAAGTTATTCTTTTGGTCTTTCTTTAAGGACACATGTGAAATATACGTTCTCTGAGTGCATTACGTATTCGCTTTCCATACAAATTACATTGTACTAAGAAAGTGCACAAAATTGAATCACCAGGATTAGATGGACTAATATATTTCCATTCTACATGAAAATATATGAGGAAAGGATCTAACATCCCCAACAGTAGTGCAGTGTGCAAACATGATGTTCTGTACACTAAATAGGCATGTAATGTACTTCAGGTAGACTCAAGCCTATTAAAACACGAAGACTTTACATTTGTCATATGAATTGTAAATAATTTATTATCAGGAAAAATATTGTAACAGTCATTAAGTAATAGGAAAGCTTTACATTAGGACAATGTAGAATTACAATATCTAATCTGTATATAAAATGGCGATGGAAACATATAAACTCATTCTTTCCAAAAAGACTGTTGAGACATCATTACAATAAATCTTAAACATTCTGCAGTCTTTCTGCTCAGCTTTCCTGAGGATGATGAATGTATGTAACATTCAGCAAACAAGGCGATTGTCATTCGTGAGTACCAGGAATGGATAACCTTGAAACATCCTTCACGTTCAGCAGTCAAGGGTGCAACACGCATAAAACATGCCTAGGACAAGCACAGGTTGTTTGATAAACATTTCAACTCAACTTTGTGTCCTGATAACAAAAAGCAACTGGATTCATTTAGTGAAATATCACTTATTCGATAGGATTATTGCTTTTGAACTCTTTTCGATACATTTTCCTTTTCTCTTTCCGTGCTGCGTTACTTATCAAGAGTTAGTAGTTCTTTTGTTATTTCTACTCCTTTCCAATTGTTTTCATTACCGTTAATTGGCAATTATTAGAACTTTTGATTATTCTGTTCTTACTAGCCATCAAGTGGACAATTATCTTTACTTTATTACTTTTTCCCTAAACGAATATTACAATACTTCTTCTCAATATCTGATTTTCGTAAACCATATATGACAACACTAAAATTAACCATTAACTAACTGATTTTTCGTCAGTGGTACCATGTGTCTCTTCTCATTAATTAGTGGTCTGTTTCATTCTGGCAAATTTAAAAGTATAATGATACGAAGTTACTAGATTTGCTCATCCTCCACAACCCCCTTTAGTTGTAATTTTATTTTTCGTAAACACTGATACCGAAAAACTTACATGTTTTCAAAAGTGATGACTGATTGACTTTTTTGTTCTTAGTAAACCTTGTAACTCTGTTCATTTATTTTCAGGACCTGTTTCATTTGCGATTATGCTAAACAATGGGATGTTTATGTGTAACTCAATTTTTGGCTTAAAACTCTAGCAGAGATGCTACTCCATACAAAATGTGAATATATTTAGTATTAAAAATTAGTTATAGGCGAAATATGAATTTGTAGAAAGTTTACGTAATCAGAACATAATACAAAACCAGATGAAAGTATGTACTAGATGTAAAGGACACTCATGCGTGCGTCTGATAAATACACAGACGCCTAACCTTTAATAATCGTGTCAGGATTCACTTCAAAAAGGTTACTGTTAGTGTAGTTAAGTTAGCATATTACTTAAAATCTCTTCTAGTATTGCCTACAAAGACTCAAGGCATGGAAATTAGTAGTAAATTATTGATCATGTATCTCGATTCAGACACCATATTGAGGACTAGGATGTTACAATGTGTATGAAACATAAACCAACGATAGCCCGTTCCTTCAATCAGAAAATTAATATTGTCCAGGATTTCTGAATGTAATCGTTTTTCTTGTTAGTAAAGTTAAATTTCGTGTATATATACTATATTCTACAACCCTTAGCTTCTGTTTCATTATCTTATTTCTCACTTGGAATTGATTGACCCTTTTACTCTGTAAATTTTTTGTCCAGCCCTGTGACTGGTTACTTACTACCTCAAGAAAAAAAAACTAGACAGTAATGAAACTTAGTAACCGCCATTTAACACCTTACCATCAGAGCGTAAGAAAACTTTTAACGTAGTTGCGTGTTTTATCCGCATTCATGTTCACCAACTATTGTTTTCATGTTAAGATCAGCTTGAATCCTTCGGATCCAGCGAATTTCGTAATAGGAAACACCATAATCCAATATTGTTAGTCTAGTGATCTGATTGTATTTCTTTTTATAAAAACACACTGTGTAACTTTTGCAACAATCTTATTTTGGTTTCATTTTAAATATATATCAATTCTGCTAGGTCAGTGTCAATTCTATTTATCTAATCATCACCGAGCATACTTAACGGTGTTTTCGATAGGAAATCCATGACATGTTTACACAAATACAGTTCAATTACAAATGCTATACCCAAATCGTTTTATATTCAGATTAAAACTATTTGTATTGTTAACGTAGACTCTAATCAAAGAGTAAATGATAAGATGGAAAGTAATAGAAAGATATCACGGGAAGGATGACATATTTAATATTGCTAGGAAAAGCTCAAATCCTATATTTCCTCATTTTTGACAATAAATGGTAGTTTCGACGCATGAGAAAGTCCGAGGCAAATTCCGTACAATTCATACATCCCTACTACTCTTTACTATTATCTGATTGATCTTACTTTTGATTTAGAATTTTCACTGTGTCCAAAGATCACATTCGTTGTTACATGTAGTTACTCTATTACAACTACGATTTTTTTCCGTCCCAAATAGTGCTTTCGAGTTGTTATCTAGACTCTCCAATCAAGGATTACAGTTATCTAGCAGGTTCCTATCAGAAAGTCTCGCCAACCAAAGTCACTGACTAACAATGAACTGTAAGATTAACATATTTAAAAATAGTATACGATTACAAGTACACCTAACTAACTCGAAAACTATGTCGTTTTCCTGCCGACTACTTCCAGCAACTTAACATTTTAACATGCCACACGTAATGCCAAATCACTAAGACATTATATAACTTGATTAAGAGAATTCGATCAGCACTGAATAACTGAGAAATTGTGAATATTTCAGTCCTACGGAAGTTCAGTTGTACCCTGAATCACTCAATGGTAATATTGTGGTGCGGGTTATTTGTATCCACCTAAGTAGTATATGCTGTAGGTCAGGCATACAATATATTTCGGAATGAACAGGAACGCAATCGGTATGAAAATGCATGAATAATGAAATCAGAGAAGATGGACTGATATTTGCAGAAGGAACAGTCAAGATTGAGACAATTAATTGTTATTTTGCAAATTAACTTTTTACTGGATGGTTATCAGATTTTAGTGAGACAGTCTGTAATTTGTGATTAAATACATTCGATAGTCCCCACTCGTGTTCTCATTCACTACAATATCACAGTACGTGGAACTGAGTAATATGCACTCGAATTGTAAAGCGAACACCAATTCAGTGAAGTTTGTAGGTATCCCTTGTTGATGAATGATAATTACAGCAAAATCCAGGTATATAACTATCTGAAAACTACCTCCAGTCTGACTAATTTGATCATACTATAAGGTATATAGAAAACATTGATGTTGAAATTATCTATATTTCCTAAAACAAATAAAGAGAAACATTTAGTATTGATTGTTTTTTGAATCTTCACATCGATATGTTAGGACTGCAACTGGTCAGTCTCTAATTGGCATATGTGAATACTGTGCGTATTGTCTCGAGAAACAACAACAACCAACTTAATGAATGTGATCTGTAGTATTAAGTAAAGATACCACAATATCATATGCATACAAATAAATTATTATTTAAAGTCATGATACAATTTAATTAATATAAAAATAAATAAGGAAACATTAAATTCACCTAAAATTTGTGTTTTGTTTTGTTAAAATCAGATAATCATTTTATTGGGTTATTGAAATAGAATTCTAAGAGAGAGGGGGGTAGAAATGAAATAAACCACCATTACTAAATGATTATAACAATATAAAAATTCTTGATTACATAATACATATACACTAATACAAGTTGTTAATTACACTAAATAAACGCTAGAGAAAGAATTTAAAAACCAAAAACAAGTTAAGACTGGTATTGGTAAAACAAAATTTAAAAGCAAAATATAATCACATTATAAAATTACAATATTTCTTCCTTTTCTTCCTTTTTTTATTGATTTGAGTATATACTATATATTCAAGAAAGTTCCAAATAAATTGAAAGAATTCAAAGGAATAAAAGGTGTTTTAATCCTCATCATCATTGAGATGGTGAAGAAGATTTATAGTTCAGATGAATGATTTTGATGGAGTTTTGTTCTCTCAGTTGGATGGTTTGGTCGTAGAGCTTTCATCATCCTTCTGAACAACATCATCAGCACAAAATTTTACGATGAAAACTCCATGACTAAACTATCCAGCTCAGAGAATAAAACTCCATCAAAATCAATCATTCAATGTCATATTTTGTCACTTTCATGTTAGATTGAGGATAATAATGTTTTTTTTGTTTTACAAAATACAAATCAATAAATAAAGATTTGATTGGAATCAAATCAAACTATTTTGAATAATTTCCAAGCATAAAAACAAAAAAAAAAAAAGAACAACAACAACAAAGGGGTGATCATTTCATTAATTGGTTGCTATGCAAAATAGATTAAAGTTATTTAGGGATAATTATTAACATTATTATTATTATTATTACTATTATTATTATTGATTATGATTTGTTGTTGAATAAGTGTTTTCCAAACAAGTTTAATTTCTATTGTAGAACAATCAAATTTCAATGTTGTACCATTTGTAAGTATAAGTAGAAATGATAAAGCTGAAAAAAAGAATTATAGTAATAATGATATGAATAAAGAATATGTTATTATTCTGGATAGTCAACGAAGTAAAATTGAACTAAACTACCGGTTATGCCTATCAGATTCAATCCGAATAATAGCTCCAATCTATTAGAATAAGAATAGAGTGTTGAAGTTATGCCAACCGAAGACTCTTTAGCCTGTAGTGTTGGTTACTTTGTTAAGCTAATGTAACTAATATTGTTATCCTGACGTCTATTGTTTAGTGAATGAGGCGCAATCAACTTTTAACCGTTAGATGTCAAATTAAATCCTCATACACCAAACCAGGAATAAGCTATTAGATATTATCACTAAATGACACAGAAAGTGTGGATATAAGCCAAGTACATGAATATTTACTCGGCAAATTAGTCATATTGATTCGTAAAACCATAGTATAAAAATAGACGAACAGACAGTATCAATCTTATATTTACAAGGCAGTCAGTAAATCATAACGACCATAGAAACTGGTACAAATATCTGTTAGCTCAAGTTCCCAAGCCAAGTCGGCATAAAAGATTTGATTAACATGAATAATATTAAAATATTCGAGATAATAGTAGTATTAATGACAAAAAGAAAAATAAACATTGAAGATGACAGTTCACAAAGTGTGGATGAATTAAAGGAATAGAAAACACGAAATAATAATAAAGCTTAAGACTTAGTGGAAGATCATCCGAGATGCTATATCTGCTAAGTACTCTACCCATGAACCTCAGTAATAATGGTTTGGTTTTCCGATAAAACACAAGGAACACGCGTCGAAGATATCTGTGATCAAAAACTCGCACTCTACATGTCTTCCGCTTTTATACATTTCACTTTACAGTCGTAGAAATATAGATCAGACTAGGATCCTTAATAAATACCCATAATATGTATATGCCATGTAAACCAGTAAACACTGTAACTGGTTTAAAAGTTCAGTGATTGCGCAAAGGACTAGTAGTAATATCTGGCTGTCTAAATCAATGTGATAATTGTGTGTGGCAACTTGAACCGATATAAATATGTGCTGAGTTCCATGTTATGTATAATTGACTGAAGTCAAAGTTCATGAATCATAATCTCAACTTCTAACGAACAGTTGAAAGCTAAATATATTAACGACTGATCTACCGCTTCATTATTCAAAAATATATAAGAAATATTTCTCAAGAGTATAGTTTATGAACAGATTAAACACCATCCAAGTTTTTTATAATCTTAATAAAACAGCTTTATCCTGTGGTACAAACCAAGTAAGTAATTAAACAACTGTTAAACAAAAAATCCAGCATCACATGGACAACCAATCTGTGAACAAAAAACAACCATATACACGACCAAACTATAAGGTTTCATTCAATCACACCATCAGTAAACTAGTGCCTAATTTCTAATTCTGAAAGATGTCACAGGAATGTATGTCGCTTGCTCTAAAATTTTGCTCAATCAATAGTGGGTATAAATATTATCAAGATAGGGGAAACCTTTTCAGTTGCGTGCTAGAAGGTGAATGACCGAACCCTCTCTGTATACAAAAACCAACGATGTCAACTCGAAGAAACTATGCCTATGTTTGCAAAGGGATACATTGACTTTAAGCTATCATAGGGTCATTCCATTCTTGATCCATTTAGTCGGTACATATAGATTGTGGAACAATCAATCGAATGGAATTCATCACTGTACATCAACTTCATCGACTATGAGAAGGCATTTGATAGCGTGGACAGGACGACATTATGGAAGCTTCTTCGACACTACGGCGTGCCTGAGAAGATAGTCAACATCATACGGAACTCCTATGATGGACTAAACTGCCAAATCATCCACGGAGGACAACTCACCGACTCGTTCGAGGTAAAGACCGGTGTTAGGCAAGGTTGCCTACTCTCACCCTTTCTCTTTCTCCTGGTGATCGACTGGATTATGAAGACGTCAACATCTGGAGGAATGCACGGGATACAGTGGACAGGCAGGATGCAGCTTGACGATTTAGACTTCGCGGATGATCTGGCTCTTCTATCACAAACGCAACGACAAATGCAGGAGAAAACGACCAGTGTAGCAGCAGCCTCAGCAGCAGTAGGTCTCAATATAAACAAAGGGAAAAGCAAGACTCTCCGATACAATACAATATGCACCAATCCAATTACACTTGACGGAGAAGCTTTGGATGATGTGGAAATCTTTACATATCTGGGCAGCATCATTGATGAACACGGTGGATCAGATGCAGATGTGAGGGCGAGGATCGGCAAAGCAAGAGCAGCATACCTACAGCTGAAAAACATCTGGAGCTCAAAACAATTGTCAACCAACGCCAAGGTTAGAATTTTCAATACAAATGTCAAGACAGTTCTTCTGTATGGGGCAGAGACGTGGAGAACTACGAAAGCCATTATCCAGAAGATACAAGTGTTTATTAACAGCTGTCTACGCAAGATACTTCGGATTCGATGGCCAGACACTATCAGCAACAAGTTACTGTGGGAGACAACAAACCAGATTCCAGCGGAGGAAGAAATCAGGAAGAAGCGCTGGAAGTGGATTGGGCACACTTTGAGGAAACCACCCAATTGTGTCACAAGACAAGCCCTCACATGGAATCCTGAAGGTCGAAGGAGAAGAGGAAGACCAAAGAACACATTACGCCGAGAAATAGAGACAGACATGAGAAGAATGAACAAGAACTGGAAAGAACTAGAAAAGAAGGCCCAGGACAGAGTGGGTTGGAGAAAGCTGGTCGGCGGCCTATGCTCCATTGGGAGTAACAGGCGAAAGTAAGTAAGTAAGTCTTCTCTTTTCCAAATTCCCTCAAATATGCTGCTCTCCACACGCTCTCCTTCAGCACAAAATGCAACTTCAAAGTAGATGCGAACCCCTAAACTAGTGATAGATTTTGTTATTATTTTCGACAAAATTGAATTGAAGTTCATTATTTCATCTTGGAGCACCTACTAATTCAACCATGAATTTCAAATGTAAACCCTAATATACTGTTCAATGTAATACATTATTTATGGATTTATAACTGTACCAACTGAAGAAGCTATTGAAAACAGTTATTAACCGGAAATATTCTTTTTCTTCTGGATATCCTAGTGAGATTTTTAAGCTAAACTTTTCTATTTTAATAGCTTATCTAAACCTGAAGCTCCACGTCATTGTGAGAAAAACCGTTTCAAAGCAGAATATTGTGTTAATCTACAACCGTGAGGTATATACTCTCTGAACGTGCAAAATAAAAAGTTAACAGTATCTGGTTATCAACAGTTTTAAAACATTACTTTAAATGTTCTTAAACAAAATAGTATACGCGTAAAACTGAGATTAGACACAAAGTTGAATTATGGATAATGTCAGTAGATGTAAGCGTGAAACCATCATTCCATACTTCAAAAACACTTAATGCAATAACTTGACTAGAAAAACAACCCGACTAACCTGATATGTCATAATCTTGAAAGCTAATTAAATTGAAAGTTATTGGTTTGTAGGCTAAACATGATGGTCGACGAGTTTCAAGAACATCTTTATCCGATACAACTAACAGAATGGCATCATTTAATAAATAAGCGAATACCTGTGAGATTATGCAAGTAAAAATGCAACGAAAATCGACTTACATCAGAATGGAAGTAAGATACCAAGAGAAAAAAAATATGAAACTTGAATACCTAATCATAACATAATATTACATTCGATGGAATCATTATTTCGATGAAACAAGGAGCTAAAACAAATCATTCGTTAACTAAGCACTAACAGGATAAATGTATATAGAAAGGTCGTTTAACTCATTTACCAGATACAAACTCGTATATATGACTTTGAATCGAAATTTAGGCAATAGATCTAGTGATACTAACACCGAATAAGGTGGAAGTGGATTCGAAGTATCGGCCAGTATTCCAATCACGCTCTAGATGATGATGTACTCATTCAATGATTTTCTCATCATAAGAAAGGTTAATATTAACAGATTTGTTGTATATACACGTCTAGATGAATATAGAAGGAAGATATATTTAAAATTGACTCCCAACTAATCATGAATGTGAATTACCTATATGTATAATAAAAGGTTTCGAATATGATCAACAGGTCCTACCTTGCTCTAGAAAATGTCATGTTCATAAACATTAAAGTTTATGTGAGTATAATCTACAAAGTTAATTGAACAAAAGGTGCCACAAGGTATTCATTAGGATGCAGAAATTTCAAGGTGTAGCCTCATCTGACTCACTAAATGTATATTTAACGATATTAAAGAAACTAGTAATGTGTAGTAAGCCTAACAAAAATCCTGAATCGACGAATGGAAAACTTCTCCAGTAATCTCTATCATATAATCGATTATTATAAATTAGAACACAGTTCTAAAAAGAACTCAAATTAATCAAATTGAACAAGGTAGTCTATAAACTCCTCCTTCAATGGATTGACAGAAGCATCAGTGCTAAAATAATAAACTCTTTGTTTTACTGACAGTGGAAATTAGTTTAGGAAGAGTAGTAAAAACTCATCGAGATTTAAGTTTGGTATCAATTATATTTAAAATACTGGCCTACTCTACTAAACATGGCATGTGAAATGCGTGAAACACTAATTCATGAAGTTACACGACGATGTGATTTCATCTGTGATTACATGTGTCCGATTCCGCGCGACATCATAACTAATGGTTGGAGACTCTGGGTGACATGGCTCAGAATCGATCACAATGGCGCAGGTGTATGCACTCTTTATATTCCCTTAAACCTTGAGATTAAAATTGCTTCAGATCTGTCTTCCTATACTATATCGTTATATACAACCTATCTTTTATATATTACCACTAAATTAACTATTTCTATGAATCCGGTGTTCATCTTGTTGAGCTAACAAGGTATGACAACTTGGATAGATGCATAAATGTGCATGGTCCTACGTTGTAGCTGACTGACTGACTGATTGACATGTGTCAAATATTTATACTCCATCAGACAACTAATATGATTAAAAATACCAGAAACCAATAGACGCAGTATTTTTCTTGTTACTTCGTCTTTGAATTTCGAAATTGTTGCTCTCGGTTTTACAAACCTATCTTCAAATCACCTGCTTGATACAGTAATAAGATATCAATAAAAACTGGGAGAAATTTGTTTGTGATAATCAAAAGTGGGTCATGTCTATGTTAGGACTGGATAAAATGAAAGATCACGTTTTAATACAGTGTGATATTTATTCCGTATAACATCCAGGATTCATTATTTGTTAGTTCGGTGAAAAGAAGCCAAATCATTCACTTTTGTATGATATTTACTGTGTAATTACCAATTGCCAGAGAAATCTGTAATAAAATAAAGGTGTTCGCTGAATAAACTGACTCAGTGTTGTTGAAGCGTGAATAAAATATTCATCAGCTGTAAATTTTATCTTTTCCATTGCTCTGTATAAATCTCAGTATTTCCTGTTATAATAACCATGTTTTGTCGGTTACATAACACAATAAACATGAATCCTATGACCAAGGAACTTATATCTCATTGAACTACGAAATGTCGGAAAACAAACCTTGGCCCGCGCACGAAGAGAATGTGTTTTGAGCAAAAATACTATTCTTTCATATACGTATTTTCTTTAAAGTGATTTTCAACTATATTTCAATAAATATAACTTTATTAGAAGGGGGCTTTTGTGGAGATTTTAGTAATCTTATATAGTTGAAACCATGAGTCAATTGAAGCTAGACCACTATGGAAAATCTGGAAGCACTGGACGGCCGTTTCGTTCTATTGTGGGACGCGCACTGCTGAGTCCAACTATAGGACGAAACGGCCGTCCAGTGCTTTCAGATTTTCCATAGTGGTCTAGCTTCAATTGACTCATGATCTCAACTATTGAAATTACAATAATATAATTTAAAACGGAAAAAAACTTACAGGACCACGATATGATGTATCTTCTACTATTAAATCTGGATATTGTTTTGAACATAAAGTACAAATAAGATAACTTTTATATATAATATAATGATTAATTGATGACCATTCAGATGGATTAAATGTTAATAATTCATTTGGATAAGGAAATAATGGTGGTAATATATACTTCATCAATTTTGCTAATTCTATATTTTCTTGAACATTCAATGTTTCTTGAGGATTTACAGAAGAATTTTCACTTTCAACTGACGGTGTCGATATTGTTGGTTTACTGTTATCATCATTGTGAATATATGAAGTAGATGGAGTATATGATAATGATTGATAACTGTTTTCGACAGATTGAGTATTTGATAGATAACTCATATCTTTTAAGACGAAATTATTGACATCCAATTTATCATTATTGGGTGTATTTGAAAATGATTGACAAGTTAATGCATCTGATAAAGCTTTAAAGTAAAATTTGAAAGAAAAAAACCACTTGCATTAGTGGTAGATTGATTTCAGTTAAGGTACCACTTCAGATTATAAAGTACTGGAAAATTATTTTACCATAATGTAGAACGTTCTACTAGTGCACAGCTACAGCTTTACCAGGATTCTCAGGTTTCATTAAAACAACCGGTACAGTGTTCAGTGGAATAATTTCAATTTCAACGAATATCAAAGCTTGATATGGTGATCAGTGATTTACTCGACTGCGGAAAGAATGGTATATGAAAGTGATTCTTTCCTAATCGCCAGTGACATGTAATAACATTTTGAGAAGTAATTGTATAACTTAGTCAATAAGTTATGGGCTCGTAACTGTATGACATGGTAAATATGTATTCAGACAGTAATTTATTGACTTATTGGTGTTGAACACCACCTAGTTCAATGTATGCAAACCTGACTGTGCATAAATCATATGAAAAGTGATGTTTTCATGAATCAATTTCGTTTGTTCTGAGAGTCAAGTAAATTCATATCACAAGTCTTTGTGTTTTCACTTCAGATCATCGTATTGGAGTTTCAGTAGTAAGGACTCCACAGATATAACGAAACTATAAACAATTTTATGGAGAATATTCAATATGAAAATGATTTAAGTCACGAAATGCCTTTTGATAATCTTAATAAATCTAATTCTAGGAAAAAAACTCTATAATGCTCTCCATCTTCTTACGGTTTTCCTTTTCGGATACAAGAGAAAGCGGAACCACTATTTCATTATTTTTCTCTTTCTAATCGTATCACGGACACTCAATCTTTCCTAATACCACTAATATTGCTATTACCTATACTACTCTGCATTCGCTCTGACGATTTCATCGTTCTGTGCTAGTATTATATGGTAACTGGAACCGATGTATACAAGTACAAAATTCTACGTTGCTTTTGACTGACGGAATGATTGTTATTATCAAACCACCTTCGTGTAAACCAAAAAAATGTAGTCAGATCCAACAAGATAGATAACAGAAAGGAAATTCACGAGATCGAACTTTGATTTTCCAAGTTACGATTTTGTGCCAATTATTTTGGCAGTTTATTTAATCATATATACTACAACTATAGTCAAACATAGAAAAAATACCGCTGATAACTACACTACTGAAAAAATAAAAGTAACATATGTATATCTGAGACCATGTAAAGTGGACTGGGTTTCTAAATTTTCGGTTTCACAAGTACACATACAGCTTTCTTTCATAACTTGATTCTGTCATAGACTAACCACCTCTCTGCTACTTCTAATCACTCCTACAGTCGGCAAATAATGAACAATATGGAAGTTGGTGAAATCCCATTCGTACCACATGTTTCAAGATAGTGACATTAATTGAATTATCGTCGCTGTGCCCAAACACTCATTGCCGAACCTCAGCATTACTAATATCGAGTTGCCTTTAAGTGTCACCCAATTCTTTGGATACAAAGATGATCGAAAACAAAAAGTCACCTGAGATCCCCAGCTGGGAGAGATCAGTCTTCACAAACATAGAATAAAACTGGTGTCAACAACGAAATGAAGACCTGACCTTCTGCGGCTAGACAAGCATCAACATGGGGTCAAAGATGACCCAGATTGACATAAGCCTCTACAGCTTTCAGTGTAAGTCCATTGATACTCTCATGCAAGCCACCCACAATAACACGAACTTTTCGACTACTGCTAACAGCATACCACCATAAACTTCGGTTATATCTGATAATTATAAGGTTTAACAATCAAAAATTGTTTCACAAAGAAAATGTGAAAACTTTTAAAAAAGAACGTAATTGTCATTTGAAATAACAGCGTTATATTTAACTCTTTTGTTGGACAGATCTAACGTTACAATTAGTATTAAAATGAATCAATTATTGAATGGTATGGTTACAAACAGTAGAAAAAAAACCTAATTAGAAATCTATCATTAATAATACTCTAATCAATTATTGAATTTTGTTATTTAATCTGATGGATCACTGCAGGTTACTAACACTTAATTAGCCACTAATACGAACCCACAATAAATGCAGATGACATAAGCAATAATAAATATATTATTTAATGAGTTAACAGTCTAATGTATGTGAATACAATACAATAACCATACATGTAACTGAGCCTGAGACATTCAGATTTTGCAGTAAACATGAGATCATAAAATAGTTGAAAGCCGATTTTACATTAATTTCCTCAAAATTACAGATTCTCCTTACCCACGAGTTAATTTATACGAAACCTATGTTTTCAGAGTATTTTATCGACTACTATCAACCATTTAAAATCTTGACAATCAAGTCATAACTATATACTCTATTTGGAAACAATATTGCATATTATTGAAATTTACGGACATCAGAAACTGATTTACGTGAGACTGCCACCAAAAATGTGGCAGTAACATATGGTCGTTTTGTCCCAGTATCGGACTACTTAGTGGTGCACATCCACGATGCTGCAAATTAGAACCAAACCTAAGAAATTCGGTTTCGTATGCTCACTAGTGACTAGCATTGATGAAGAATTACCGGACTCTAGTGAGATATAGTGACTAGTGGAGCCCAACCATGTAGGGTATGAGGAATCAACCCACTAAAGACAATGGAAGATGGTAGCGCAATACCGTAGATTGGTAGAAGTTAGACTTAAATGCTATTGAAAACTCACTCAATAATTTAGAGGTCAAATGTTCGTGCATGAGACCGGTCCTAACTGAGATTTCAGTGTAGGAGCCCATAGGTACTCACTTCTGTGTCTCATACTAGGACGAAAAGACCGTTTGATACTACCAGGTTTTCAATGATTGTCCAACTTAGATCGTTTCGTAGTATCAACATTAATATGTAATTAGTAGTGCTTTTTTTTGAAGGAAAAAATGCCCTGATAAGAATTGTATTCACAGAGTTACATAATAGTTATCATATTATTATTTCATATTATAATCAGAAGGGGATTTGTGGAGATTTCAGTATATTTCAAAGTTGAAATCATGAGTCATTTGAAGCTAGACCACCATCGAAAACCTGAACGAAACGGCCATCCAATGCTTCCAAGTTTTCGATGGTGGTCTAGCTTCAATTGACTCATGATTTCAACTTTGAAATATACTTCATATTAATTGATAAATGTTCATCACTTAATTAAATTAAACCTACACTACCAAACGACACATTCACAATGAAATATATTTATGAAGTGAGCAGTAATTAAAGTTAACTGATAATAATAAAACTGCAGTTACCATGTTACATAATCGAATTCAAATAGAATAAAATAGTTTGATACGTTAAAAAAACTACTTTCATGTAACCGAGATTTTTTTTTACATTGATTCACACATTTAGCATTGATTAAAAGTACTAATGAATCAATCCGTTTGTTACATAATACAATAAAGCAAAGGTCGTTGTGTGTCTAGTTGAATAAGATAGTAACTATTTAGACTGAATGAAAAATCCGATTATAGGTCTAAAATTTTCAAAAAGGAACAGAGTTCCTTTTTTGTGAAGATTTTTTCAAAGCTTATTGATGTGAGATATTTACTGTATGTTTCAGTGAGAGGATCATGCAATTTTTGGGGGGTTTTAGTTATTCGAAGAAGTTAGATGGTAGTACCAAAAACAATGACTGTCAATATTGAACCAAATAAATATCTATGTATAAGATTATTAAAACATCAATAAATAGAAAATAAACTAAATATGAATACTGAACTTCGTGACCGCTTGATACACTACCGCCTTACAATTGAGTTGATCATTGAGTCAAACACAACGTACAACTTGGCAAATGTATGCATCGGTTCACGTCGTCACCTCACATTACTACAGCGAGATAAAATTATTAAGACAAATCACAGAGTAGTAGTAATATTAACTATATTAGTAGTAGAAGGGATCAGGTGTAGAAAAAAAAGACGTACATGAAGTTTTCAGTACTCAGGATCAAAGGAGAGGAAACGAGCAAATGCACCTGCACTAATGCGAACGATTCTGGGTTGTCACACAAAGTCTTCAATCATCGATTGCATTTGTCGTGTGGATTCCAAACAGGTAGTCTGCAATCACCTACATGACTTAGTCCGACTTTTATTGACTTCGTGTCCTGGTTTAACCACCCTTACCTTTCTTCCGTCCTACTTCTACACAAAACAACATCGTCCTTCATGGTAAGCGTTGGTTGAGCATACGAGACACACATCCCAACCACTTCAATAGGTGAGCATTCATTACTTAATCAACCAATTCCAAAACTTTGTCTAGAGCACTATCCCTAACATTACTCACTCGATTTATCAAAATACATGAGCAACGTTTAGAAGACACCTATGATTAAAAAAAATACTAGTAACCAATGAATATCCTTTTTTCTTGATGGGCATGCTTAAAAGGCATAAAGAAGAACATCTTTCGGTCGGCAGACGGACATCTCATCTACCCCGTATATAACGAAGGTGGATTAAGGTCAACTGGACTTTCTGAATCCGTGTCGCGATTTCGTCGGACACAAACGCACCAGATCTGATGACACTCCTAAAGTAAGTGAAGTGGCCATTGCACTCAATTACCGCACCCTGACCAAGTATTACGGATTCGATGTGGTTGATATTCTTTTTTTAAAGAGGAATAGAACGATATTTGTTAAATTAGTTTAGCAATTAAAAGGAATAACGTTGATAGTAATTCCATGCGGTTTCAAACTCGAAAACAGATCTCTCACAATAGCATACGTAAGCTTAGCTAAATATCCATAAACACTTACTAAATTTATAATATACAGTCAAGTAATACTTAGCAAAACATACTCATGATCCCCGCCCCAAATGCCCTGGTACGGCCGAGAATGGGGAGGGTCCGCTCTCCCTCTCCAAATGCTCTCACATGGCCACGCGAATATATAGCTTCTGCCAGGGAAGTCCTACTCACTGCATTCTCGTGGCGGGGGTGTTGTTTACGAAATTGAGAAGACGAAAAGCGAATGTCCGGCGCTTTAACCGGGTTGGTGGACATAGAAAGTTCACCTAGGGGAGTTGGAAAACCCTGATTCCAAACCAATGGTGCACATGGGCTCCTGTATCTGGAAGGAACGAATGGCGTATGAACCTAGTGTTGGTCACCGGCTACCATGGGACTGCATCTCCTCACGGATGCTCCACTGCCTTGTGGACTAGACCTTCAGGTCAAAGGCTCTGGGTGTGGCCACCTAAGAAAACTACCTGCTTCAGTTTGGGCACCTGAGCAGTATCACAGTTCACACACGAATCAAATGAGATTTGTGTGGCGCATATATATCTGGCGCCCCTTTGTACCAATATTTATGTGTTTAAGTAAAGTAAATAAATAATAACTCATGATCCCCATACGTAAAGATACATTGTGATAATGAATCCCAACCAGAACAAGTAACTCTACCGATTAGTTTTAACTACCTAAAACCCAAAAATAGTATGCATAATACCCAGTTATTTAAAATAGTGGCTACGTTGAAACATGATCAATTGAAATCAATCAATACAGAGGGCTAAATAAAACATGATATGGGTTACCACTCAGTGATTAATAAGTATCAATATTTCAGTCCGACAGAGGGTTGGTCCATCGCTTTCCGAATAACTCAATGGTTACAAGTTTGACCACAATAAATGAGCCTCAATCCCTTGATCTGTATAAATTCCCTCAAAGTTATAGATTCATCTTTCTCATTAGTGTCAACTAGAACAAAACCTAAGTACTGAGCTACTTGAGGATTGCCTCTAACCACTTAAAAGTATGAAAGTAATGCTCTCATCAAATAGATTTTACAGTGTTCAAATTCAATGATAAGTCATATTATTATTACCATTATTTTCTACTTGTCTATCATTTAGATAATTAAAAACACCTTTTCTGTAACCGTGTCACCAACAACAAGTAAACACATCATAAACAGGAGGTTAATTTTAGTAGGAACCTCCATCTACAATACAAAATATGAATGATTAAAGCTGATGTAATTTTGCAGAAAAGATATATTCAAAAAAACTCGGGTTATTTATTATTTTTACCTTTTATACATTTTTCCAAAGCTGGTCGATCTTTATGTTGATCACTTGTAAATTTTTCAATATTCTTCAAACCATTTAATAAACATCTTGGTATCTAAAGATATAAAATACAATATTACTTAATGGACTTGATGAAGATAATCGGCATATAACCAGAGTATTTAGAAGTGGAAAAAAAACACTAACCCAAATATTCACATAATAAACATACCTCTGATGGTAGCGTAAGAAACAATGACAGGATAGGGACACCTGGTTCCATAGCTTGATTCTGTAAAGTAAATTAAGAAATAAATTAGAAATAATGATGGTATGCACTATAATGCCATTCTAATACTGAGTTTGATTTAATTGTAGACTGATCCAAGTTGGAGTACGATTGAAAACCATGGAGCACTGAATACCAGCTTCTTTCTAGTAAACAACACTTCAATAATGTTCTTATTTATTTATTTAAACACAGAAATATTGGTACAAGGAAGCACCAGATATATATGCGCCTCACAAATCTCATTCGATTCAATAATGTTCAGAATAAAACAGTTGTGACAGATGGAATAAGATGATAGTCGGGTTGATTGAAGATGGGATTGTACAGTTCAAGGCTAACCTAGTAGTCTTAATATTCAGGCGTTCGTTATGAAACCTGCAGGACCTAGAATTGATTTATGGAAGGGTTGCATGTATGTATTGCTAGAACCTGTAGGGACAGTGAAATGTCACTCTGTACTCACTCTTGCTAATATATTTCCATGATAACGCCCTTTGTGTTATACGGTCTCCAAAGCAGCCATGGTACTTTGGTACGTCGAAAAGGTAATCCACGTTAGATGCTGACCGCGAGGTGTGACTTCGAAGTTGGTTAGTTCGTCACACCGTTCCCGTCTAACTCGAGTAGGCCTCCAATCATTCAACAGAGATCATCAACGTTGACGATTAGCAGACCCATACTAGGACTTAATAGCTGTCCAGCATTCACTAGCTTTCAGTGGTACCTCAAAACAGATCTATCTGTGCGGATAGAATCGACAAACTTACTCTGATTTCTTAATTAATTGGTTTGTGAATATTCTGTTCACTTTGATAAAAAGATTTCTAAATGAAATGGTATTATTTGAAAAACCACTAAAAATTGGGGATAATTAGACAACACGTTGCGGTATTTCCTGAATTCTAATTCATTTACATAAGGCATGTTTAAATTCTATGTCCATTACTCATGAAGTAGAGACGAACCATTCTGAAAATCTCCAAACTATAATTAAAATACCTATACAATAAAATCGGGAGATATGATTAATAGTACAAAAGGTGTTTACATTTTAGGACCTGATATAAAGCTAAAATGTGATTATTGTGGAATGTTAATGTAGATTTCATGAATAACATACATAATCTAGCACAATTATTTCTTTCATACTTCTGACGTAGCTAATTTATTATTATTATTCAAACACATAAATATTGGTACAAGAAAGCACCAGATATATATGCGCCTCACAAATGTCATTTGATTTGTGTGAGGGCTGTGATACTGCTCAGGTGCCCAAACTGAAGCAGATAGTTTTCTTAGGTGGCCACACCCAAAGCCTTTGACTTAAGGGTCTGATCCACAAGGCAGTGGAGCATCCGTGAGGAGATGCAGTCCCATGGTAGCCGGTGACCAACGATTGAATCATACGTTTAGAAATGTATTGAAAATTAACGACACAGCAAATAAATCATTTAAACTAACCTTAAGGAACAATCTCAAATGTGGATATTGTTTTCGCAATTCATAAAAATATTTTAAACGATCTGGATAAACATTTGTATAATCTATACATTGACTCAACAAATTGTTTAGTGTTAACTCAATAATTGTTCCAGGATTATCTAAATGACCATGTATAGGTGGTATCGATGATGACGAATGAGGAGAACTTGGTTGACAAGATGATAGATTATGCAATGATTCCTTCATCTGATTTTTTTGTACTATATTTTGATAATCAAGTTGTTCGCCTACAAAATTATTAGTAAAATTCTCTGACATAATTGATGCTCTAAAGTCAGTATTATCATGGTCATTAGCTGGTTTGTTGTTTTCTCGATTGATTGGAGATGATTGTTGTCCACTAACCGAAATTTTGCGTAGTTTAAACAGAAACGAAAATCGTTTATGTAAGCCACGTCCACCACCAGTTGTATTACTATCGTTATATTTCTTATATGAATCTGTTTTAAAATTCTCTGATTGTGTCAAACCTGATGAAGATAATGTAGGTTTCAACTTATTTTTATTATTCAATACACCAGTTTTGATAAGAGGACCTGATGTTGGCGGCGATGATGTATGATTTGACATAGCATATGGAAGACAACCATTCTGTAGATTTTGTTTCAGTTTACATGTCTGAGAAGCGACCTAAAGTATTGTTATTTGTTTTTAAAATGAAACAAAGAAATTCATCATGATGAATAGAAAAACTGACGAAAATTTAAAGATTCTATGGGGGAAAAAATAAATTCAAAGCTATTTGGCATAAGTACGATATGTTAGAATCAATATATTCGATAATAACGTGGCCAGATGATGAGATGCGTGTAGAACGTTCTGCATTCTTCTGTCAATCACTTATTACACAAACTAAAACTTGTGACATAATTTTATACCGATACAATCTGCCCAGGATGCACATACATAGTGATAAATTGTATTCTTGCATATTAACGGGATATTGTAAGCTTTTACTGACACTTTAGGATAATTTTGTCTAGCAGTAGAATTTAGTCAGTCAGTCAGTCAGCTATAACGTGGGACCAGGCACACATGCATCGGTCCAAGTTGCCATACTTCGTTATCACAACAAGATGTACACCGGATTCATACAAGTAGTTAATTTAGTTGTGGTAATATACAAAAGAAAGACTGTATATAAGGGTATATTCATGGAAGAAAGACAGATATGAAGCAATTTTAATCTCAAGGCTTAAGGAAGATAAAGAGGGTATACACCTGTGCCATGGCACCTAGAGTCTCCAACCATTGGTTACGATGTTTACGCTGACCCCAATCAAGTAGTCTGCATATACCAACATGGCTCAGACTAGAAGTTAGTGACTTCAAGCTCTGATGCCATGTTTTGGTTTGGCCGCCCCTAACTGTCTTCCAACCATACCCATTGGTTTGTGAATATTCTGTTCACTTTGATAAAAAGATTTCTAAATGAAATGGTATTATTTGAAAAACCACTAAAAATTGGGGATAATTAGACAACACGTTGCGGTATTTCCTGAATTCTAATTCATTTACATAAGGCATGTTTAAATTCTATGTCCATTACTCATGAAGTAGAGACGAACCAGCATAGCGTGCAGCATAGCGTGTCGTGGTAATCGGTGTTCAGGCATTCGTAACACTTGGCCCAACCATCTCAATCGATGAAGATTCATCACCTCATCAACTGATTTACCACCATTTCCCAATACCCTGTGTCTAACCTCACTATTACTTATTCGGTGATCCCAGCAGATGCGAGTAATATTTCTAAGGCATCTGTAGTCAAATAGTCGTATCTTCTACTCTTAATGGCCACGTTTCGCAGCCGTAAATTAGAACAGAACGAACTGCTGCGCAGTATACTCGTCCCTTATTTGACAGACGGATATCTCGTCTTCGCCATAGGTGACGTAAGTTGGCAAAAGCCAAACAAGCTTTTTGAATCCGTGCTGAGTTTTCATCAGACACCAACCCATTAGGGCTGATCAGACTTCCAAGATAGGAGTAGAATTTATAATGTTAGATTTTTTTTATATTTAGGATCGTCTAGGTGAATAACCCTAGATTCCTGTGAGCTTTAGTGTTTTTAATAAAATCTGAATATTGCACTGATCAAGCTCAAACACCAAAGAATAATAAAACAGAGTAGTGAGTCTGGATATTCTTCATAAAAAACAATGAAGTACCAAACAGATCTGAACTTAGTGAATGAGTCAATTATCGCTACCTGAGTGTTCTTGCACTACAATAAAGTAACGTGGACTAAAACACGTTTTTTGGCAGGCTCTGCATTGACTGACTAGCTGAATGAAACGTTACTATTATTATTACCATTATTATTATTCGATTCAATATTAAGCTAAACTTCAAAGATCAACCAAGTTTATGACCTCATAATTAATTACAATGGCTCATAGTAATAACACTCAATATGAGCATGTAAAACTAAAATCATTAAATAATCGGAAATAAATTGTACTATCTCTTGAAAACCATAGAAAAACAATCATTGATTTAAGAAAATCAATCATATTGTGCTTTCACATTATCAATCATTAATTTGTGCTGTAAAATATTGATGATAAAGTTGTTAAATATAACACTGTTAACATACAGTAATCTATACATAATTACTATTCTTATTGTTAAAGACATGATTATATACGTGATATAAATGTAATAAGATTGATTGTATATGTATATAGACATAAAATTATTTGAAAACCTGGAAGCACTGGAAGGCCGTTTCGTCCTATTGTGCGACGGCCCCCAAATGCTCTGGTACGGCCAAGAGTGGATAGGAGCCACCCGTTCATTCGAAATGCTCTCACACGGACACGCGAATACAGCCTCTGAGAGGAAAGTCCTATTCACTACCTTAATGAGCCACGTGTGTTGGTTACGAAAGTGAGAGGAAGAAAAGCGAATGTCCTGTGCTTTAACCGGGTCGGTGGACACGGAGGGTGAACCTAGGGGAGTTGGAAAACCCTGATTCCAAACCAATGGTGCACATTGGTTCCAGTAGCCTGAGGGAACAAATGGCATATGAACCAATCGTTGGTCACCGGATACCATGAGACTGCATCTCCTTACGATGCTCCACTGCCTTGTGGATCAGACATTCAGGTCAAAGGCTCCGAATGTGGCCTCCTAAGAAAACTATCTACTTCAGTTTGGGCACCTGGGCAGTATCACAGCCGCGTCCACCAACACGGTTAAAGAGCCGGACATTCGCTTTTCATGAACAGTACTCCCGCCACGAGAAGGCAGTGAGTAGGACTTCCCTGGTAGAGGCTATATACGCGTGGCCATGTGGGAGCATTTCGAGAGGGAGAGCGGACTCTCCCCACTCTCAGCCGTATGAGGGCATTTGGGGGTCGATACATTTACTACTCAAATACTCTGACATATCCCTCCGCAATTGTATCTAGCTATGTTGATATAGTATGACAAATTGAACTGATACACACATGTATCCTAGGCTCTATGTACCTCATGATTAACTGACTGACTTGATAAATGAGTTACATTTATTTATGATATTGAAATAATGAAACTAACCTCAACAATATTAAAAAATAATGAATTTAAATCATTTGGATGTAAATTTGCAATTTTTTGTAAACCAGTACGATAAGCATTAATTCCATAAGTTAAATTATTTGATATATTTATTAATTTAATAATTAATGCTTCAATTGCCCATTGTCTATTAGCTTCATCTAAGCATACATCTTCCCATTTAAGATTTAATATAGGTGGTGCTAAAGTTAATATACGTGTACGTCGAGTTATACTTCCATTTCCATTCTTATTATTAGTTTCATTGTCGTTATGTAAAATACTTTCATCAATACAACATTCTTCGCATAACATCACTGAGCCAGCAGTAGTTGTAACTGTTTGAGGAAGGCATGAATTATTAATATTGGATGTAATAAATGAATCTGTTATTGAGTGATTAACTGTTGTAGTTGTAGTAGTAGAAACAGTATTGATACAATTATCAGAAGGTAAATGATATGAAAAATCATTAGGTTGGAAGATGTGTTTATTATTATTATTATTATTATTATTATTATTATTATTATTATCATTCTTGTTAATTCCTGTGTACGTGGTGTTCTTTGTTTGAGTTTGTAGATCAGATGAAACTAAAGAGTTTAAATCTTCATTTGAGCTTTGCCTTGACAGATTGTAAGCTAAAATGAAAGGGATTTATACATATTTATAAACTTATACTTAAGAAAGCTAAATCAGGTACATTTAAAAGGTCAACAACATTTTGTCACTAGTTAAAATAAACTTCATAAAACATTTAATTTCTATAGAATGGCAAGACTACTATTGAGTGCTGCTAAAAGATGAAATCGACGAAGTATCATTCTGTATAACCAGCAGCCGCAAATATGGTGTATTCTTACTTTACTGGAGAAATATAGAGTTTGGTATTTTGGAAAGATGGAAACAATATGAATCCAGATTTACAAATGAAATATATGAAATTAAATGCAACTTATCTAGTAAGTACAAGTCCATATATTCTACATTGCGTAACACTATCTATGTGACTATCAGTGATATTAATCGAGTGCCCAGGAGGAGAGAAGTTAGAATCTACGACCTGCAAATTGAAATGAAAATGGAATGTGCTAAACATTAATCCAACAATCACAAGAACTATGTCCCTACAAAACTTGAGCCTGAACTCCTCAGATTTGAAGGCAGACATCTTATCTGCTAGACCATGAAGCTCAATTGTAACAATAATAAGTAGACATTTCACAAATTCTAGACTTCTTATCTACATAAATCACAGAAATAACTGTCAAGTAACATAGACTAGTATCATGAGTAAAAATCAGATTCAGACTCTTTCCGATGAACTTTAAAAAGATATCACTTTCGTTGTAGGTCACTAAGAATTAATCGATCACTTTCAGCGTGAAAACTTCTGGCGACCGTCAGAAAACAATCTGCACTTCTTCATTCTTGCTTTATTTCTACACTTCAATCACTTAGTCGCTCTTCTGCTCTCGTCTTTTTAAGTCGATAGGTCTTTATATTTGAAGCTAAAATTAAGGTCTGTAGACTTCGATTTTAGATTTTTTAAAAGTTCAACAAAATATATGGAGGAAACTCCAGAGGGCGATGCCATTACTGAAGAAAATACACTTAAAACTCGTGTACCAATGAAGCAATGATAATTTAGCTAACAAAAAATATCACATTGGAATTAGCTATTTAGGAATCGTAATTACTTTGTACATGAGATGTGTTTATAAGTAAAAAAGACATAAATTTTACAGCCACTGTCAGGGAAGTCCTACTCACTACTTTATCGAGCCACGTGTGTTGTTTACGGAATTGAGAGGACGAAAAGCGAATGTCCGGCACTTTAACAGGGTTGGTGGACACGGGGGGTCCATTTAGGGGAGTTGGAAATTCTGATTTCAAACCAATGGTGCACATTGGTTCCAGTATCCTGAAGGAACAAATGGTGTATGAACCTATTGTTGTTCATTGGCTACCATAGGACTAGATATTTTAACGTTGCTACACTGGCCTTATGGATAAGACCGTTAAGTCAAGGGTTCGGCTCCCTAAGGAAACCACCTGCTTCGGTTTAGGCACATGGGGAGAATCACAGCCCTAACACAAATCAATGATAACTACTATTGGCCTCATTGTTATTGTGCAACGCATATGTATTTGATGCCCCCTTGTACCAATGTTTATGTGTTCGAATAAATAAATAAAGGGAAGAGACATAAGCTATTGGTTGAAAATGTGGTTTCATTTCCTGAGAGAAGAAAATATGAATTTTTAAATGCATTGTACATATTGTTCTCCATGTGATTAGACAACAAAAGCATTTTATCTCACTCAATTATCTGGTTTAGACATGTATATAGGAAGCGTATATATCAGTAGGACACTTGGACGACCACAGTACAGTATAACATACACACAACATAATAGCTAATTTACAAATATAACTCACATTTTAAGTCTCGACTACAATCAGGCAAACAAATATTTAAAATTATGGCTTTATTTGGATGACTTTCTGCAGCTTTAGACATACACTCTACAACATCTTTGAGCGTCAATGTACAATTCAACGGAGTATTTCCAATCCCTAAAAGATAAGCTCCAACAGGTAGTCCAACTTGATCAGCCGGTGAATCTTTTTGTACTGAATGAATACGAAAGCATCTATGAGTAGGTAAATAACTACATTGCTCAATATTTGATGAATCTTTATGACTAGACGAAGTAATTGGAGTACTAGCGAATTGTTGAAAATCAAATTTGACCATTTGACATGTTAGAGTGAAACCATAACCTGAGTCCGATCTGGGAATTGTGATCTGTCGAAAGTAGAAAATTGTTAGGTACTTAGATGAAACAAAATCGCAGTTTGCAAACGGATATAATGAATTCAAATGTCGTTAACAGAAGTCTTGTGAGACAAAACAATGAACGATCACGATAAGAAATAAAGATAACAGAAATAAACCAGAGATAAGAAAAACATGTTTTCTTAGTACATGGGGTTATGTAGATTTTGCAATTTTACCTCAAAGTTTGGTTTTAGTTTGATAACCAATGAAGATCAGGAAGGACTGGATGGCTGCTTCGTCCTAGTATAAGATGCCTTAACAGAGATTAAACACAAGATGTTCATACCATTAGGTGAAATTTCTTATACTACATTAAATTCGCTTGGACACTATATTTTACAGGTGTAAAGTAGATATCACAAAAAAGTTCATGTATGCAGTCAACGTTTGAAAATCACTGCGCACTTACGAACGGAATTCTTGATTAAATACAAAATACTATGATGAATCCCAGCAGTTTATAAATTTACCGATAATGAGTTACTTGCGTTCATGCCTCTGTACTGAATACGCGTTAGTCCTCATGGAGGAGCATAGACCATCCCACCAGCATCCTCAATCCAATTCTATCCTGGACAATCCTTTCTAGTTTCTACTCATGCTTTTTATGTCTGCTTCGAATTCGCGGCGCAGTGTGTTCTTTGACCTTCCTATTTTTCGTTTCCCTTCGGGATTCCAAGTTAGGGCTTGTTTCGTTAGGCAGTTTGCTAACTTCCTTAATGTGTGTGCTATCCACATCCAACGTCTTTTCCTAATTTCCTCTTCAACTGAAGGCTGGTTTGTCCTCTCCCACAGAAGGCTGTTGCGGATGGTATCCGGTCACTGGATGTTGAGTATCTTGTGTAGACAATTGTTTACAAATACTTATACTTTTTTAAATGATAGTTGCAGTAGTCCTCGAATTTTTAGCTCCACACTATAGAACTGTCTTACGTTCGTATTGAAGATTGTGAATTTGATGTTGGTTGACAGCCGCTTTGAGTTCCTTATGTTCTTCAGCTTCAGGAATGCTGTTGTTGCTTTACTAATCTTTACCTCCTTGTTCATCGATGATATTGTTGAAGCACGTGAAACTGTCCACCTATTCCACAGTTTCTCCATCAAGTGTGATTGACTTGATGTTCTCCATTTTGGATTTGAGGATCTTGCTTTTTCCCTCGTGTATGTTGAAACTTACTGATGTAGAGGCTGCTCCTACACTAGTTGTCTCCATCTGCATTTGTTTGAGTGTATATATCGACCAGCTGGTTTTATTCAACTCCTTAATCTTTGTAAAAATGAAATTAGTTTAAAACCCTAACGGGAATCATTCAAATATATCGTGCTTATTACTGCCCTAACTCAAACACTACAATGACGCGAACAATAAGATTGTATACCTTTATATATTTATTTCGTTTACACATAAAATAAACACTTACTTTCTTTCTTACGAAACCTGTTAATGATGGTAAATTTCGATTATCATTTAAATTTAAAGAAGATAATGTAGAGAAACTTTCAGATTTGATCATGATATTAGTTATTGTAGATGGTATTGAATTTGATCCTGATTTAAATGATCCTATAGATGAGATTTCTTCATGTGTATCCAATTTAGAAAAACGTGGTATTGTACCTACGGACATATGACGACAATAACAAGAATTTTGTCCCAATAAATAATACCATTGTGATTTAGAAAAATCTTGATTCATTACTTCTAATGAAGGTAAACTAATTGAAAAATGTTCAGATTTGGAATATTTGAAGTTTGTCTTTGATAGATCCAAATCTTGAGTTGTTGATTCTTTGAATAGATTCATAGAATGATTATCTTGTGAATCAGTTAATAATAATTTTAATGATTCAATAGATTTTTGTTTTAATCTTCGAATATTAAATGACATACCTCCAAGAAATATTGCATTTTTATAACCAAATCTATATACATATAAGAAAATAGATACAGTAGATAGATACAGTAACAAATCGTATAATGAAATGAAATGAAATTGACTTCTAATTTATATGAATTTTTAAAGTCAAGGTTATTGGCTAGACTTGAAACTTTGTTAAAAATTTGACAATACGAGAACATTTAAGTGTACTCACAGCTAATTGGGCAGAAAACACGTCAAATGTGTAATATTATAGAGAGAGAAAGACATACAATAAAATTACACAAAAATATGTTATGTAATCAGTTACATCATCAATGATAATACTAACAATAGAAATTAGGTTTTACATTGGAGGATAAATAAAATTGAGTAGGTTGTTTTAACGGAAGAAAGCGTAAATTCAAATCATAAATCACTTAGTGGCTCATTATCTGGTAACTATAATGCAATATATTGTTATAACCAGCATTATATACATAAACCAATGTGTAATAAATCTTCCTTTTTTCAAGTTTAAACTTAGATGATTTTGTTTCGATAAACTGGAAGTTGAAGTTAGGCATTAACACCATCGAATGCTGGTTCAGTGGTCTATTGGTTAAGTGCTCTGGAGCGAAACTGGTAGGTCCTGGGTTCGAATCTCGCTCGCGAGAGCGGGTTCGTGGATGCGCACTGCTGAGGAGTCCCACAATGGGACGAAATGGCCGTCCAGTGCTTCCCGGTTTTCCATGGTGGTCTAGCTTCAATTGACTCAGGGTTTCAACTATGAAAAAACTGGAAGTTATAATTACCAAACACAAATAAAAAATAATTGCATTCATAGGTTTAGATCAGTTGAAAGGACGATTGAAAAGTAGGGACTGGGATTCCTCAACAATAAGCAAACACTAACAGCCTCAAAATAAAATAGAGTTCCAGAATTGTCAAATCTCGTCATGATGAATACGATATATTTCGATTACATAAATTAGTATAATATCACACCAGTTTCAAATAAAAAGACTATAGCAGTCATTTCGAATAAAGAATCAATATGGCTGTTAAACAAGTTTATTCTACGAAATGTAATCATCAACAAGTTAATTATTTTCATAAACGAATTTAACCGCTCTGCACACCAAACATAAACAAAGTCAGTAAAAAGGATGATGATAATGAAGAAAGTAGAAGTGAGTAGACTTTACCAAAAACATCTAAAAGTGAATGAGAAAAAAACGTTAAATGATATGAAACATTTTTAATCAACCCATTGGATCAATTACTTTGCCGAATATATGATCGGCCATCCCCTGTCTCGATGTATGGTATTTACTGGTGTAGAAGTTGAGAGCAATTTAAAGATGGGTCAAACCAGGACGACATCAGTTCATGAAATTACTGACCATCAGATTGAGTCATGTTTGCAGGTGTAGAATATCAGGTTGTGATCCTCACAATTGTCGTAATGTTGTTGGAGATATTTGTTGACATGGCTCAGAATCGGCACAGATGCACCTACTCTTTGTCTTTTCTCAAATCTCGGGTTCAAAGTTATTTTATACTTTTTGGACAAGCCTATCGTTTTTTTCGGCTCATATTTTTTAGGACTAAAATTCTCTACTACAATCGCCACTGTTATTAATGCTATTACTCCGGGATTCAGTTTGATAATTTTCTTTCCGCGTAAGTATGACGTGGTGACTTGAACCGAAGCATATATGTGCCAGGTTCTAGGATGCTTATAACTGACTAATAGACTGAAAATGTATAAAGACTTAAAAGTTGATGACTAAACCATTCGAGGATCATTGTGGCGTACAAATTAATAAAAACGTTGCAAAATATTTGATAAAAACCAAAGAATAAATGAAATATACTCTTCAGTATTGATTGCAACGACTGACATCACATGGTTGACAGACTAGATAACTAGAGAAATGTTTGTATTATTGGCTTATATATTTACGGACTCAGGTTCTAATCTCAACACAAAAGCGTATCATGTTAACTATGAACTGAGTTATTGAATTATGTTAAGTAAAACTTTATTGAATTCATTACATAGATTCACAATTAGAAAATGTTGATGAACTATCTTTGATAATTAGTAGTTAAGTGATTGACGCGATAGCACTTGAAGAGAACGGTACTGGATTTGAGTCCTAAAGTGAATATCAACTGTGAGATAAAGGTACATCCACTGACGAGCCCTGAAAGGGACGGAACGTGAGTCCTGGATTCTACTGTTAACGACCACCCATCTCTGCTTAAAACCACAACTATTGTTCCGAACATAATTATTCTAATGTACAATTACTGACAGGCACCAATTGACCAACATAAAGACACAAGAAATATACTGACAACTTACTTGGACTGATTTAAGTATAACTCAATATATAATCGGTCATTACGAGATATGTGAGAAATTTCACTAAAAAGAAAAATGATATATATTACTCTGACAATATAGAAAGGATTATATTTGGATAAATAGATTAATATACGAAATAATCCGCTTAAAATGTATGAAGCCAATAATAAGTATTCGCTAGAAAACCATTCCAACTCATCTCGATCTTAAATTTTATTATTATTATTATTGATAGCTTAATTTAATATCATATTTCTGGTACAATATATTATATTCCGTGGACACTTATGAATGGTAACTTTGTGGACTATTTATGGACCAATGTGATATGTATATTTCCTATTGTATAATTGTTAAGTAACTAAACTATTCATATTCATGTTCCTCTCATTATAAGCTTTATTTTGACCCATAGACTATTATTATACAATTTATCATTCTTGAGTTATCCCAAGTCTATTGATTACTGTTCCCCCTATTAACAGCCACTTTTGGCTAGATCTTGTACAATTGTTATTTTGTATTTTATGGTACGATGTGGTCAGTTTGATTGGTATATAAACCCAGCATGTTTGAGAATAATGATTTACATTGCAGAGGCTGTTATTGGTGTTCTGTACTTAACTGGCTGGGCTAGGCATGAAGCAGGACTGATAAGTACTCAAGACTGCTAATACGGCTTTTGTGTATCATTGCTCTGATCGATAATCCACTGCTCCCTTATAAGCGGTTTTATAACGTCATATATTAACAGGGCACTCACACTCAATCGATATAACACAATATATAGTTCTCAGCACAAGGTATTTCAACAAGATTCTTTTTAAAAATAGAAAAGTAAACGTGGAAGAAACTGATAACTGTATACACATATACATAAGTTAAATAGATAAACTATCTGGAGTTAAATGAAATGTTTGTTAATGAGATAAGAATCTACACAACTTTTGACGAGCAACATATTTGAAAATACAAGTTTTTGACTAAATCGACTCTTATAACCTGTTCGTCACGTAGCATAGTTTCTAGACAAGGCATTGTAGAACTTTTATATTATTGCTTGTGTGCATGGATTATAATGTACTGACGTCTCGTTCTACCAGAATATATACAAGGGGAAAGATATGAAGTGGATGGTTAGTATCTGTTAATGACCTCAAAAGATTCACCACACATCCTGCTAACTGCCTTCATCACTCTCCTCAATACGGCTAAGTTTCTTATCAAAAGCCCTGGGAAGAATAAATTAAAGTAAGTACTATGCTGATTTTTGGCGATTTGAGGTAGTCAATAGCAAAATGTAAACCTAAGCTTCGCGCTAGTTGGCATTCGTCAGTAAGATTTATCTTCAATATTGTGGGATAAGAATTTGTTTCACCCATCTTTCCCAGTCTGAGATATTACTACTGAGTTACCCGGGTAGGGATTAACTTACCGTAGGACTAAAGATTTGCAATTGATTGATCATTCGGTAGTGACCTATGGTATATTTCTCTAGTCCTTTTAATACTTCTAGAAGCCTATCGATCAATTTATAACAGACCAACTAATCTAAGTGACTCGATATGGCATGCACCTTGATGATTTATTAACTGAGTCAACACTTTTAATTACTTCTCTCTCCAAAGTTTAAATAAAGCTCGAACACTGACTTCTGTAAAGTATTATAGTAATACATAAGCAAAAAAATAACGCAACATATTAAAATATCTTAAACAGTAGTATGACTTACAAGGAGAATTTTTCGTTAAATACTGGTGCAGTACAATCGGGGACAGATTTAGTTCGAAGTTGATAAGTATTGGTGTTAGGTGAGTACTTTGGTGCTATTCGAGCCTACAAAGATTTGAAATCATACACTTTAATCTTACCCAGATTTTTACTAAACAACTTATTCAAAGAAAACACTGTGATTAAACTTGACTATATCTCGATATGGTGGTCAGCTTGTCTACCACACAAGCTCAACCGAGTTATATTGGTTGAAAAATCGTTTCTTGAAGTCCGTGGTTTCTAATTTATCAGTATATAAGATACGATAACTCCAAACATTGATCTTTTTTCCTGATTTGACCGCTGAGAAATGTATTTCGACGGATTATCATGGAAAAATTAATACCTAACTTCAATACTTCTATGTAGTCGTGGAAGATATTATTATTTCTGTTCCATCTGTCTGTCATCAGACAACTGCATAAATATGCCTCATATCTTCCACTATCCTAATTACTGAATATTATACCAAACACTATACCATAGAATTATTTTTTCAAAAAGTTATAAAACATGGTATTCGAAACAGTACTATTGTAGTGAGCGAGAATACAGGTGGGGACAACCTAATTTATATTCAGACAACATTAAGGAGTAACTTGGTCAAATCACAGAACCATACAGTAAATACTTCATTTGCAAAGTATCAGTCAATTGTCTCAAACTTTGTTATTACTTTCTTTCCATGACAATCACTCTCTGTTCCCGTTCTCTTGTCTTTGATTTTCTCAACCTTCTGCAGCCAGACATTCCACTTTAGGTTGGTGATACACACTACTTACATCTGTCGACATCACCAACACACACTATACAATTGTTACATATGAATATAAATTTAGAAAGTATACAACTCACTTCTACAAACATGGTGTAACCTTCATCCACAGGTACTTGAAGATAACGAGCTTTTATAACTAGAGGAATAAATCAAAGTAATTACAGCGTTATTGAATAGTTATACTTTAAAGATATACAACGATCATGATGGTAATAATAATGATGAAGAGAATATACTAGTAACAGAAACCAAAAATGTCATCAGGTAAATGTTAACTACTCAGTTCGTTGAAATTGTTATCCTAGAATAATGTAAACAGTCAAATTTTAGCCACTCTGTTGTATGTCCGAGCCCTACTTTATACATTTTGAACTGAGCAACAATATGTACAATCAACTAAACGAATGCGTAATTTAGTTGGTCAATCCTAAGTTGGAATCTCGCTGAATAATATCACTAGCTAACATAATTAATATGAATCAAATTAAAATACAAAATGAATATATGACAAATAAAGACAAATTAAACACCAAAAGATGATCCAAGTGAATGATATGAAACCAGATAGTAAAAAGGAGTTTAGATGTAATAGATAGTTTTCTTTCCCAAATGTAACAGCAAAGAAGACTGGAAGCTGTGACAATAACTGTTTAAGTATGCTCACTTATGTAATAAAGTCTAGTCGCACTGTAATGTTTGTTTAATAGATGATAAACTTACTTCCATTAAAAAAAGGTTAAACAGTGAGTTGAAAATAAAAATACCGGAAGTGACAATAACACTAAACTAAAGACGAACTAGTATATGAGGATTTTTGTGGACATTGTAGAATTTTTACGGTTCAAGTTACAAACTGATCTTCGCTAGACTACCATTGGAAACTTGAAAGCATTGGACGATCGTTTTGTCCTAGCGTGAGTCTCCTCAGAAGTGTATCTGAAAGATCCCACATTATGGACCTAAGCTCAGGACCTTCGGCTTCACGCGCGAATGCCTAACCTCTAGATAAATGACCCAGTGTTAATGCCTTACTAAAGATAGCCCAATTGTGACATAATACTGATTTATTGGATAATACGTTTCTTCTATTGAGCCAGTCAGTCAGTCACAACGTAGAACCTTGTATGTACGTACATCAGTTCGAGTTGACATACCACAATAGCACAGAGATGCAGTTGTCGTATCAAATCCCATAGTGGTAGAAGTAGTAAGAGTATAAGCATTATGTGAAAGATTAGGGTTTGAAGATGTTATTGAAGGAGTATAATAGAGTGAAATAAATTTGGAAAGAGAAAAAAAGAAAGGGACATGAAGAATTCAGAAGATTAGAATTTGGCAGTACACAAAGAGTGTATGCACCTTCACCATTGTAAACGATTTTGAGCCATGTCATTCAAGGTCTCTAACCATCGATTGCTATCATCTCGCGAATCTCAACCAGGTAGTCTACACCTACCAACATGGCTCAGTCCAATTGTCAGTGACTGAGTCATGTTAGAAACAGGTTTATACTGTAAATTATAAACAGAAATATCAAAAGCAACAACGGAACTACACTAAATAAAAAGTCATTAAATATAGTAGTGCAGTTATCCTGATCCAAAGTAGCAAATAGTCACTGAATTAACAAACAAATGTGACTATTAAACATCGATTAAATAGGAACTTAATTTGGATACCAATATGTAAATGTCACAGAGATAATCTCAGTAAATAAAACAAATGATTTGCATAAATTCATACCCCCCAAATGCCCTGGTACGGCCGAGAGTGTGGAGAGTCACCTCTCCCTCTCGAAATGCTCTCATATGGCCAGCGAATATATAGCCTCTGCCAGGGAAGTCCTACTCACTGCCTTCTCGTGGCACCGGTGTTGCTTTTTATTATTATTATTATTATTATTAATGGCTTTATTCTATATTATAATCTGGTACAATATAGAATTCTCAGCACGAGTTATTTCAACAAGTTTTTTCCCAAAAAATAAAACCAAAAAAAACAACAACAAAAAACAGAAATAAAATATAAAAAAGGTTTAAGAAAATCTGAGTTTATACTAATTATCGAATATGAGACATGCTTAAGAAGACAGGTTATTTACTAGGTCAACTCTAACAGCCTGTTCCTCACAAAGTAAATTAGCTAAGTAAGGTATTACAGAACTTTTATAGATTTGCTTGCGTGCATGAATTTTAATGTATTTACGTCTCGTTCTACCAGAAGATATACGAGGAGAAAGATATGAATAAAGGGGATGGTTAGTATCTGATAAGATAACACCTGCCAAGAGTTTGCAAGAATTAAGATGTCTATCCATAAGCATATTAACAATGACTTCAAAAGATTCACCACATACCTTGCAAACTGCCTTCAGCACTCTACGCAAAATATCAAAGTCTTTTCTCAAAAGCCCAGGAAAGAATAATGGAGAACAATATAGAATAATAGGTAATATGCAGGAATTTACAAATTGTAAGAGTAAATGGCGAGTAATCCCAAAAGCATGCAGCCTCTTTATGTAGTATGTCAAACGGTAAACTTTTTTCAATAACAGCAAAACATGAGAAGACCAAGAAAGATCAGAGGAAAAAATAACACCAAGATATTTGACCTTTGACACTGTGTTTATTAAGGAGTCTCCAATGGCACAAGCATTATGGGATCCCAACATAGAGTATAGGTCCTGTCCATGTCTCAAGCTAAAATTAACAGCTTGACATTTAGATGAATTGAGTAAGAGACCATTACCAACAGACCACCTTTCAATACGAGATAAAAACTCATTCATTTCTATAGGATGTAAGGAGGTAGAAATTGGCATACATACGGTGAGGTCGTCCGCATATTTTACAAAAGTGTTTTCTGTGGAAGATGGCAGATCATGCAAAAAGAAAGAGAAGAGCAGAGGTGAAAGAACAGCTCCTTGTGGCACACCTACAGTAGACAGTAGAGATGTTGAACACTTTCCTTCAAAGACAGTGTACTGTTCTCTTCCAGAAAGGTAGGAACATAGCCAATTGGTTATCCAGCTGTCAGTATCGACGCTGATCAGCTTGTTAAGTAAGAGGTGTCTTGGAATAGAATCAAAAGCAGAAGTAAAGTCCAGGAAAGCGCATCTAACATACTTCTTACCCTTTTCCAACCCGAACACTATATTGTGATGCAGAACAGCAACGTCATCTAATGTGCTTTTTTTGCATTTGTAAGCAAACTGATATGGATCACAGTGCTCTTTTATTACAGGTTGAAGTGGTTGTATCAGTAATTTTTCCATTATTTTGAGGAAAGGTGAGGTTATTGCTATGGGTCTAAGTTTCGCATTTTTATCACCAGAAGCCTTCTTAGGTATAGGGATTACCTTTATCTTTCTCCACATTTTCGGTAAGACATTAGTTGAGAAGGATCTGTTGAAGATATTCATTAATGGATAACATAAAACATCGGCACATTTTTTAAAAAGGTTTGGGATACCATCAGGTCCTAAACATTGAGATGAATTCAGAGACTGGAGACATTTCCGGACATCATTTTCAGTGAAACTGGGGACACAATTATTCTTCAAACCCTTGGATATAGGGAGCATGATGTCAGATGACTGATGAATAAAGGACTTATTTAAGTCACAAACATTTAGCTGGTTATTGCTTCTAGTCTGCCTGCCCCCTGTAATTTCCTTAAAGAGTTTCCACATACTTGGAGAGCTTCTGCAAGATAGGAGTTTTTGAGTGAACACACAGTTGAGACGTCTAATCTCTTGGTTTATTTGATCATTTAACTTACGAACTTCAATAGTGTTTTTCTCCTTGTACATCCTTTCTTTTACCCTCCGTAGTCGTTTTAGTTGTGGAGATGTAAGTCGATCAAAATTTAAAAAGAAGGTTTCGGTAGGACAGCAAATATCAAAACAGAATTTAAGATAAGAGGTGATAACATCCGTTGTGTTTTCTATTGAGTCATCTGTAAATAATTCCCAGTTGGTCGTACGAAACATGTTTTTTAGATTTTGTAAATTTTCTTCTGAGTAATTCCTATATATTACTTTTTTGGTATGGTGTATGTGTGTACTCTTTCCATGTTTACCATATACTTTAGGTAAGACACGAATTATACAGTGATCCGAACTAGACAATGGAGCACGTTTGCGAGTCACATAGGCACCCACATCATTAATGAAAACCAAGTCTAGATGAGAATTCAAACGAGTAGGAAAATCTACTACATTTAGGTGACCTAGTGATGTAAGGAAGCTACAGTCACATGAATTGAAATCACCACATACAATTGAAAGTGAATCACTGAAGGCAGTAACGGCGAATTCAGTAAATTTATCAGTGAAGACAGATAGCGCAGATGATGTGCAGTCTGGAGTCATGTAGATATTGGTAACAAATATATTTGTATTTATTCAGGTGTTTTGGACGGAACCTTAAAGTTAGACAGTTAATAAAGTCGTTTGAAAACTTGAAACAGGCAAAAGTAGATCTACACCAGTTAACGTTTACAAAAGTAGCTACTCCGCCACCACAAGTCTTTTTATTGTTTGATCGATCCTGACGATAGATATTAAAATCATGTAATGACACTAAGCAATCATCCTGTAAGTCAGTTAACCAAGATTCTTGAATTGTGATGACACCACAATTACGATACATGTTTTGACTTAGCAGAAATTGGAGATAGTCCACCTTGTTAATTAGTGACCGACAGTTAGAGTTAAGTAGCTCGGGAATCGACATTTGATTGATGTTTATTCTCTTTAAAGCATATTGCCAACCACCACGATGTCTCTTATTGTGCTTGTTTGTAATTTTTGCAGCGAAAGGACGTAAGCATTTTATAAACGCGCCTGTGTAGGTTATGCGATTAATAGACATAATGATAGGTTAAAACAAATTTAAAAAAAACACCCAGATAACTTGTTGAAATATTTAGATGGCAGAAACAGGTAGCCCAGGTATTCAAGCAGGCCGCCAAGCTAAAGAAAGTGAGAGGACGAAAAGCGAATGTCAGGCGCTTTAACCGGGTTGGTGGATGTAAAGGATCCACCTAGGGGAGTTGGAAAACCCTGATTCCAAACCAATGGTGCACATGGGCTCCAGTATCCTGAGGGAACAAATGGCGGACGAATCAACCGTTGATCACCGGCTACCATGGGACTGCATCTCCTCACGATGCTCCACTGCCTTGTGGATCAGACACTCCGGTCAAAGGCTCCGGGTGTGGCCCCCTAAGAAAACCACCTGCTTCAGTCTGGGCACCTGAGCAGTATCTCAGCCCTCACACAAATCGAATGAGATTTATGAGGCGCATATTGATCTGGTGCTTTCTTGTACCAATATTTATGTGTTTAAATAAATAAAGAAACAAATAAGTGATGAATCTAAACTCCTAATAAATCATCCATCAACCCCTTTAATTTTCAAATATAATCAGATCACTAAATTGATCTATACAATGGTTGTCATCATTTTAAAATCATATAGAGTTGGAATAACAATCACACTGTGAATGGTGAGGTTTTAACCTTTGTTGTTGTTGTTGTAAATAAGCGGATGTGACAGATGTTTTTCCCAAGCAATTATACTTTGAAAAATTTATAGACAATTAAAAATTACTATTTGACCTTTGTCTTTATATAATCTGAGGGAATATCACTTGTTAATTAAATCCATTTGAAATGAATCAATAAAAGTATAGGGTTTCAGTGAATGTGAAAACTTTATCAATTTGTAAATGAAAGTCAGACTATCAAATCTTAGAAGTATAAGGAAATTTGTTTTAATCTAGGAGACCTAAGTATATGACTCACTACTCATACTAGAATCAAATTGAAAAGCTATAGATTAACAATGAAAATCAGACATATCCACTATCTAACAACCACACAATGGATATCAAAGAAGTGAGGAAACCAAAAACATGAAAATCTAAAGGAATGAATACAATAAAGTAAGCAGAAATAAAAAGCTTCAAAAAGTGTGGGGAAGGAAATAGTCACAGATTGGAAATAAAATGCATACAACAATTAAATGTTCAGGATATGAAAGATCCAAAAAAAATAAATGTATTTACACAGTGGATAATATCAAATAAAGTACTCGAATAATAGAACCAGGAGGTCTTAAGTTTTAAGTGAACAGTATTATATCGATTCTATACAACTCATCCAGCGAATGAATATATATCCATACTGATAGACCGTGGATTCCTAATCCTGATCACGTTAAAAATCGTGATTTGTTTCGCTTACTTACTCAGATCAAATCAAATACCACTGTAGTACCATAAAAATAATAATAATAATTCTGTTGAGGATTATCTTTCTAATAACCATTACGAACCAATTAAAAAAGCTTGAGGCGAGTTACTATTAGATAGTGTCAAAATATCATAGTAGAGAGGTGGCTTACTGGTAAAAAACTTCGGCTTTCAGCCAATAAGTCACAGGCTCGAGCTCCTCCCTAAATACTTCGTATCGGGCAACTGGAAAGTACCACTAACCCTCATACATAGAATGTGGCCTATATATAAATAGCCGGTAAGTTAATTTAGTTTAGTTGCACAAACAGAAACGCAACAATTGAATAGTTAATGGTTTATATACACGATCTGAGATCAATGCAACAAAATGAATAGGTTTACATTTGGATTCTCGTCTCCAACCAACGTTGGTGTGTCACGAATACAGACTCTAAGTAGGTAACGGTAGGTTTGGACCTGTGATCTAAAAGTTTTTGTAGCTCTAGTGATTTACGAACCTAACTACAACCAATTTCTAGGTCACCACTAGACCCAATATGAAAAATAGGCTGTATCCTCAAAAACATGAATCGTCGTATATATAATTATTCTTAAATATGTTCTGGTCAAATGAGTAATGGAAAAAACTAGTTGAAGCATACCATTTGGTAAATTCACTTGGTATATTTGTTTGAATCTTCCCATTGATGTTTAAGACTGCAATTGATCAGTCTCTTGTTGGTATATGTGCACCCTATGCGGACTGCCTCGATATTTCCTGAAGTCACAAGCTTTATAAGCAACGATGGATAGTGGCTAGCAGTGCAATCCAGGACTCGTCAGATGGATGTACCTGCATCTCAGAGTTGATGTTCACTCTGGGACTCGAACCCAGTACCTTTCGATTCAAACGCCATAGCGTTATCTACTTAGCTACTGAGTCCACTTGCTTGTGCATTGGGGTGAAGTTAAAATTCACTTGGAATTGTTTGGTATTTTATACATCATATTGAAAATGATCACCAAATCGATTATAGATAACATCAAACATTGTTACAATGAATATGCTATCGATATTTTAATAATCACATACTAATGTTTAATTAAAAATGAAGCCTACGTTACTGACTGAAAATAGATACAGCTTTAAATGTGAGTAATAAATCGTACTTCAAATGCTTACTATAGAGCTTAATTTATAAAATAGATCGAATTGTGTATAGATACTCAACTTACTTTGTATACGTATACATTTGTCTGTAATGTGTAGTGCAAGTTGTAACTGACCTATAAAAGAATTAAGTTAAAAAATTAAGGGGAATAAAATCTGAATTAAATTTTTTATTAAGAATGATAATTGCAAATAAGTAGTCACAAAATGATTATTTATTTAAACACATAAATATTAGTACACAGGGGCATCAGATACATATGCGCCACACAAAACTCATTTGATTTGTGTGTGGACTGTGATACTGCCAAGGTGCTCAAACTGAAGCAGGTGGTTTTCTTAGAAGGCCACACTCGGAGCCTTTGACCTGAATGTCTGATCCACAAGGCAGTGGAGCATCGTAAGGAGATGCAGTCCCATGGTAGCCGGTGATCAACGACTGATTCATACACCATTTGTTCCCTCAGGATATTGGAGCCCATGTGCACCATTGATTTGGAATGAGGGTTTTTCAACTCCCCTAGGTGAAGTTTCAATGTCCGCCAATCCGGTTAAAGCGCCTGACATTCGCTTTTCGTCCTCCCAATTTCGTGAACACCCTCGCCACGGGAAGGCAGTGAGTGGGACTTCCCTGGTATTCTATATAAACTTCGGAAATCTATCATCAATGAACTCATTGTTATTTGTATCATTATTACATGAAGTAATTTCACACTGATTTCATATTTCTACTCTGAATAGTATAGATAGTATATCACGAATGAACAATGTCATGGATTCTCAAAATAGAATGAGCGATCAATTTGGTTCTCAATAGTTTATTAAGTATTGCCAGGTCATAGAGAAAATGAACTTCAAAACAGAGGAAAAGATCCTATAAAAATAACTCTTAACAGAGATTGATGTCAGCTTGCAAAATGTTTCGAATATACTTTTAGTCTAAACTTGACTGACGTCCTAAAATTGAACATTCTGACAATAGATCTGACAGGAAATGCAAATTATACTACGGTTACAGAAATATGTTTATTGAAAGATACGCCAACGTCAAAGCTAACAATTATCGTGATAGAAGAGATAGAAACACTTAATTAAATGAAATAAACCAAATTCGGTTGAGTTTTGATGACAAAGGCTGAAGAAAACAGAACATTCATTTAGCCTATAATAGCTTATTACCCAAAGAAATTTCAAGTTTAATGAATAAAACGTGATGACATAAAATCACAAACTAATTTGGTAATTTTGTTGGGTAGATCGTTACATCGAGTTAATAAAAATGATTGATTAGAAAGATAGATAGAATCTCAGTCTGTGACCAACTGTACACAGAACTCATATTCGATTCTTTTTATCAATAGACTCTTGTATGAAGGAATTAGCAATGTACATTTCATGTTCATATTTTTATTTTTCATTGTCACCAGGTTTGCATCCACATTCAATTACAGTGTAATCTCTAATTAATCCTTAATCTCGATGGTAACTTGCTAACCTCATTTTTTTCTTCACAAACACGAAACTGTTTACTCTAAACAAACAAGGTTACATGGTTACTTGTTTCTAAACGAAAAAAGGATGTGCGCTGTAATAGGAAACCATAAAATTGGTAATAGACATTCATGATAACAATAAGAAATAGGATAAAGTGAATGAATCATTAATGCTAGACATCGTTGGTTAATGATAGTCACTTTTTTAAGTTGAATATTTTATGATCAAGTTCCATTTAATTATAATACAAAGATTAGAATTAGGTTTTTGAAAATGGATTTCAGCTTGATAACTTGAAATATCACTCTTGCTCTCTGTCTCCTACTCTTATCAATCAACTACCTTTTTAACTTTTATGCTATCTGTAGGACTAAATTTTATATGAATCCATTTTAATCATTCAACTAATTACTTCTGCGATGACACACTAACCAGCAAACCCTATAAATTCTACGTAGATAGTGAATAAAATCAAAAAGAAACAAAGTACAGTCGAATTCAAAACAATCTATTAATTGGCTTCGTTTCAACAAAATTACATAATATGCCAGTCTACGATATCCTAAGACAATTTATCTACATTCTAATCAGTCGGATGTTTAGTATTCGCATAACTCGACTCCAGTTGGAGTGAGACAAGATAGGACTATGATGTTAGTACTAGAAAATGTGAAGAATTGCGTACCTTTCAGTGATGTGAAATCAAAATATATATACCAGACAAACCTCAAATTTTAACTGATAGAAAGGAAAGTTCGGTAGAGAGAATATAATCGGTAAGATTCCATTAATTTATGATGAATCGGTAAAAAAAACTCAGGGATGAAACTATATTTTTCATTCAATTAGCATAAAATCTGGTACAAATGGTCGCCACAAATGTAGTATCTCAAGCCGAAACGGCTGGTTTCCTTAGGAGACCACTCTCTGAGCCTTAGACTTATAATCGCGATCAGTATGGCTTTGGAGCAACATCAGGAAATGCCCATCGATGATACTCGGCGATCAATAATAGGTCTATAACCTATTCATTAATCCAGGATACGGGAGCCAATGTACATTAATAGTTTAGAACCAGTTTTCCAACTACCTTAAATAGATCATTTGTTTCCATCACGATTTTAGCGACAGACATACGATGTCCTCTCATATTTTCACTAACAACGCTCACCGCGTGAAGTCAGTGAGTAGGACTTCGATGGGAGACGCTATAAACAAATGGTCTTATGAGAATTTCAAGGCAGAGTGGAATCAGTCATGCCAGAGTATTTGGGGTCAAACTATGAATACCGCACCACACAATATAGCAGTATATATGACTATTAATAATAATTTGATCCTTATTATGCAGTCCAACAGTTGAGCGATGAGGGTGGTTAAAACATTTGGGTTCGGACTGGTAGAGCTCAAACTAGGACCGCGCTACACATACTCCGGTTCAGAAAGCCGGTTAGTATCGTCCGCTTTTACTCAAATATAATGTAAGTCGAGACTGAGTACATAAAATCCATACTTAGTAAACAAATAAAACATACTTAACTTTAGTGAATAGATATAGACTCACCTTGCCAACAAAGACGATCATAGCATTCCGTTATGGCTACAATGCCATTTTGACAATCGATTGGAATAGTCATCTGGTTATCTACTTCATCTAGACAAAGTTTATTGCTGAGGGATAATAACGATAAATCCGCATTTAAAGGTATCATAATTCCATAACAAAAGAAATTAGAAAATAGTGTTCCAGTTAACTGGATTGTGTTCTAACAATTTTTCAGCTATACTATGTTATTATGTAGGATAGACTAAAAATCTCTAAATTTGTTGACTCATTGAGGTCAGCGGGACATGTGATTCCTATTATGTCAATTAGCCTCATAAAGAGATAGCCAATCGTATTTTAGAAAGAATAGTTTTTATTTAGCCTGTGGTTGTAATTGATTGGCGTAGACATACAGCTATATGACCTTATTGATTATGGTGACGAACGAAACAGCGTGACACGGAAAAATTGGCTGACCAATTCTCACTTGTTCATTCGAATTACGTCATTCAATTGGAGATTCTCCTTTAAATCAGTTCGTATTTGTCCAAACAAAACAGGTTTTTGTAAATTTTGTCTTCTGTGATTAGTTATCTTCAATTAGTAGTCGAGATTATGAAAGATTGATCTATTTTTGGAGCTTAAGTATAGTTTCCCCTTCAGAATACTGTATATACCTACACAGGGGATATTTACTTGTATCCTAATGTGATCAGGAAAGTGAATAGTCCAGTGTACTCAGTTTTACTCATACAGCCACAATTTCTCTTAACTGTTTTCCCTATCATGTGACAAACTCAGCTTAACTGGAATTCCATCTCAAGCCATTCTTTCCAAAACCACAAACGTTGCCATGTTTTATACATATGTAACATTAACTGGTGGAATGCATTAATGGTCTGAGTTAATAGGCATCAGTCACCCCGAATCTCAAGGTTTAGTTATTAACTTAGGACGATTTATACACCAAATAGCTGTTTATATTTTGTAATCCTATTCGATAGATATTAAAGCTTAACGTATCATCTAACGATAACTTATTCAACAGTATGCTTATTATGTATTTGAGGAAACAATCTCAATCTAACCGAATATCATTTGGTTCATATCACTACTAATGACTGAGTAAGCTCATTACTGCAATAATAAATATTGGTTTTAACACGGTAACTTATGATAGACAATCGTTGTTCAGAAATCTTTTTCAAGTTGAACCTATTATCAGATAACTGTAAATAAGAAAATTAAATTAGGTTTCGAGTCTGTCAGAATTAATCAGCATGCATCTCTGTGATCACGGGAGCCGAAACCTTTTACATTAATCAAAATTTCATCATATAATCTCATAGTCAAATAGTAGTGAGATACTCTGAATTTTCCTTAATAAACCGTGCTGGTTATATGGGGTTTTCTAACTTGGAAAGATGACATTGGTAATTGGAGGTAGTTGACAGGATACACAAGACGTAGGTACAGTGTTATTTTGTGTTCATCAGCTACGTTTATATGAAATCTTGTGGGAACTGGCGCTCCATGATAAATTCGAACACTGGCCACCCAGGTGCACAATCTGAGATGGTAGCAGCGAACTATTCAGGTATGCAAATAATCTCTTGAATGATTACTGAAAAATGATGAATATCGTTAATGCTGATGAGATTCTATTGAATAAGTCAGATCCTAAAATAGGTTAGAGCACAGCATTTAGTTTGTTAACATTTTAACAGGACCACAGTAATGAAAAAATATATATATACTTCTCTGGAAAGCCACTAAGCGAAAGCCTGATACTAATCATAGTCATTTCCAGATGAGATCTCATTTTTACTAATAAATAAATGAGATTTTATTAAAATACCTAGAGAATTGACACTTAATTAATAATGGGGTTTTCTGTGGAGATTTTAAGCAATTTTTAATATAAACTTGAAATCCTGAGTCAATTGACGCTAGACCACTGTAGAAAACCTGGAAACACTGGACGGTCGTTTCGTCATATTATGGGACTCCTCAGCTGTCAAGTGCTCTGGCGCGAGACTGGTAGATCCTGGGTTCAAATCTCGCTAGGCGGGATCATGGATGCGCGCTGCTGAGGAGTCCCATAATAGGACGAAACGACAGTTCAGTGCTTCCAGGTTTTCTACAGTGGTCTAGCTTCAATTGACTGATGATTTCAAGTATATATATATTAATTAATAATGGTTTAAATTTTAAATTGAACGTTTGTGTAGTTTTACTAACCTGAATGTGGCTGTTCGTTTGTATGTGACGTTCCAAGGACATAACAACGATACTACATAATCATGTATTTCATTATTCTATGTTATTTTGATGAATATTTAAGTAGGTGTTATTTTCCATTTTCTTGGATAACTATTTGGTTTCGTGTCAACACTAAAATATTTCTAATGGTTTATGATCGAAGTTTATGGAGAATATTTGCGGCTCAAAATGAGTATGTTTCAGATGTTTTGATTCATCCAGCTGAAAGACCACAACAACTCCAACAAAAATCCATTTCACAAAACAGAAGAACATTACTTCATTGCCCTTGTAAGCGCTTTAACATGCGACACCGAGTGACAAATTTGCATGTCACCTTGTGAATTGACAATTAATTTGAAATCAAGTTAGATATTAAGATCGAAATAGTTTAATCGATAACATTTAATTATATATATTCCTTGTTTAGACAAAAGTTTGCATTTCATTGTAATGTATCCGGTGATTTATGACTGTAAATGATTTTAAATGTACTAATAACTAAAATTTTCTATTATTTCTGAGTAACATAAAGTAAACAGGTAGAAACATAAGAGTGATTGTCAACTCCCGCTTTCCCAAGTCAAGGAAGGATATTTCTTCTTGAGGAACCTTTAAAGGAAGTGGGTTTGGGCTGGTCTTAATTATCTGAGGCTGCAAACTCACTGATTAAGGGACAGCTATTTGAGGCTGGTCACACACAGCCTTTTGAAAGTAGTTTAATATATATGTTGGTTCCATAATTACAACGCCTTACTGTCAATGACAGAAATCCATGGGATAGGGCGAAGTTTGTTATTTTACCAAATACATGTTTGCCTACTCGGATATGAACCACACTACTCAACTAATCAAACTTAAGTAATTAGAGTAATGATTCAAACATGAACACTATTAATCGAAAGCTAAGCCACGACCCCAAACGGAAAAATTTACTTACTGCTTAGTTTATGCATATTGAACAAAAGATAGTTTTTATACTTAGAAACGACCTTAAGATTCTGATGATTCGTTTATTCATGTCAAAATTAACAATAAATTATGGGTTTGTGCATCAATCGAATCAAAAGGAATTGTCTGGAATTTCCTGAGGATACTGGTTGGTTGAGCAGCATTCTGAACATTTCCAGATGTCTGATAGGATATACTCTGAAATAATTATTGACATGTATATTGATTTTCATTCCAGTCATTTATTTTAAACTGTCACTGCATTAATGTAGTACTACAAAACTCACTTCCATTAGTGGTGTGTTATTTGAATTCATGTGTTCTACGATACCAGATGTAAATTTGAAATAATTCGAAGAAATAATAATAACAATAAGTTTAGAACTTCGGCAAGACAATAAAAAGTCAAATATATAGCACCCAGTACGAAATTGTATTGTGTTGTTACAGAGACATAAACATGACAACAAATATTTAATTTTACAGTAACTGTATTAGTTGTTGAGCAAACGTATGTAATCCCCAAACAACTGACACCATTGTCCGACACCATCAAGGCAACTGAAACTTTCAGACAATTGGAAGAATAACATAAGTATTAAGAATTATGAAACTGCCGCAAACAATCAGAAAGTAACTATCCTTACTTACGCCTGTTATCCCCGTAAAAGATCAAAGGTCGCTCAACAGCATTCTCCGTCTAACTCTGTTCTATGCAATACTTTCCAGTTATTTCCATTTTCTATTCATTTTTTTCATGTCCGCTTCCAATTCTCGACGTAGTGTGTTTTTTGTTTACACTCAGGAGTCCAAGTTAGCGCTCGCTTCGTGTAGTACTTTGATTTCTGTAATGTATGAACTGTACACTTCCATCATCTTTTCCTAATTTTCTTTTCACCTGGAGGCTGGTATTACAGAATGATATGAGCTAAATATGCATCAGCAAATAATTAAACAAAATGACATTAAAGATTACCAGAACTTCACGGAAAGTAAGATAGTCAAATAAAAAAATTTGCATCATTTCAGTCTTACAAAGGTAGATTCTGACACAGATAAAACATTTAAAGACCAGAGAACACTGGACAATTAATTCTTTCTAGTATGAAACTACTCAACAGCGAATACTTAAATGATTTAAACTGTCAATGAAAACCATTCTCAAATTAAAGCAATCTCAAACAAAATCATCCCACCACAATTGAGTTTTAAGCACAAAAGTTTACAATATTAAACTACATATTAAAACTTGATATTATAGTTGAAAGCGTGAGTCAATTGAAGCTAGACCACCATGGAAAACCTGGAAACACTGGACGGCCGTTTCGTCTTATTATGGGACTCCTCGGCAGTGCGCATCCACGAACCCGCTCTCGCGAGATTTGAACCCAGGACCTACCAGTCTCGAGCAGAAGCCCTTTACCGATAGACCATTGATGAATGGTTGCTCAACTTCGTGGATCAGTTGAAGTTAGACATTAACACCGTTGGATGCCAGCTCAGTGGTCTATCGGTTAAGGGCTTCGGCTCGAGACTGGTAGGTCCTGGGTTCTAATCTCGCGAGAGCGGGTTCGTGGATGCGCACTGCCGAGGAGTCCCATAATAAGACGAAACGGCCGTCCAGTGTTTCCAGGTTTTCCATGGTGGTCTAGTTTCAATTGACTCACGCTTTCAACTATAATAAATCTCCACAAACCCCCTTCTATAAATCTTGATATGTTTATCAATTAGAAGTAGTGAGTCTGTTCTTCTCATAAAAGAGAATATTGATTTAGTTAACTAGCCAAAAGTGTCATTAACATATTAAATCCTTTAATTCATTGTTTAAATACTATTCACATTTCATAAATATTCACTTAGATATTATGTAAGATGATATCTTTTATGAGTAATCATAATTTTATCGTTCTGTCGCGTTTTAATATTTGAGTCATCGTCTTATGTGGTCCTTCA